TGCTGCTGTTGATCCTTCACAAGGTTTCTCTTTCAAAATAAAGATTTACACCTCTGGTCTGAATCAATGATGGTAGAAGCAAGATGGGAGGAAGTACATTTGCAAACGGTTGTAAAGAGTCTTCCCATGTTAGATTATCTCAAGGAGAAAATCCCAATACAATTAAAATAATACTCTATAGATTCATTTCCTACTCTTAGGAGAACCATGTCCCATCTTTAGAATTCTAAGCCATAAAGCTCCTAAACAGCAAGATTAATATTTTACCCCCTATCTACCAGTTCCCAGTATTTCCTTGCCTAATGGAGACACTTCCATTATGAATGAGATATCTACTAAGTACCATGCAAAACACTTGATTTTTCCTTTGTGTTTAAACTCATTCTCAGCTGGAATCACTTTAGTGTATCATATGATAAGTCAAATACATAAACACTTTAAAAGTGTGCTTTACAGTTCCTACAGAAACTATGCAACAAAAATTAATGTATACAGTTACAAAATGGTATATTAAATATTTCTTTGACACTTGCCAAGAAAATTTCTTGGATCTTTTAAAACTCAAAATTAAAGGAAATATTTAGATATTTGTATCGTATCAATCTCTTGGGCTGTTTTATCTCAAGTATAGAATTTTTTTTACATTTAGATTTAAATGATGCTTAAATATAAGGTTAACAATTAAAAATTGTGGGAATAGAGTGATTGTATAAAACAAGGCTATAAAATATATGTATACACACATATGTGTATACACACATATAAGCACATCATATACACACATATATACACACACATATATATACACACACACATACATACACATTTTGTCTGAAATACAGATTGTTACTTGAAAGTATAGGAAGCAGATCTTTTCATGACCCAATTCGACATATTTTTGTTATTTTAAGCAAGAAAAAGCAAGGTATTGTTATCAAACAGTGAAATTAAAACAACAACAAAATAGTTTCTTCACTCCCTTCATGTCTTCGAAGCGCATGTGATACAATAGTTGACTGTTACCAAAAAGTCCTATAGTCATACCCTGAAAGAAGGCATAAAACCCAACAGTTCCAGAACAGGTCAGAGAGTGTCACCCTGGGAAGGGTTTCATAGCGGATTCGGCTACCTGTTTGAGCCAGACAAATACCGTGATTCATAGTGAGTTTGCTGTTCTGGTCTAAATCTTCTGAAAGATTTCATTGGGGAAAAAAGGGGAACACCTCTCATTCATTAACATCATTTATTTTGTCCCGATTTTATTTGCTTGATTGTTTTCTATAGAAGCTATGTTTTCTTCTGCCTGAGGCTTGGGAATGGTTTTCTCTTCCAGTCACGGAATCCCCGCTTCCTCTGTATTGGGTCTTCTTGATGATCACCCACCCCTGTCCCCCGCTCCTCAATGTCATCACTAGGAAGCGGGTCAGAAGAAACTGGAGGACATTTTTCTGTGTCTGGTATTCTGCTTGATGTTGGGCAACAGGTCCCAGCACTCCAGGGCCGGTGGCAGTCAGGGTTATCCCCATTCCGGTGAGCGTACTCAGACTCTCCCACGCACACACGCAGGGTCCCCATCATTGCCCAAGGGTGTAGGTTGGGCCCTGCCTGACTCATGGGGAAGAGGCGAATTGCATCCTGTGAGTCAGTGGCTCCACTTCCTGCTGGCATATCTGAGATTTCACTGAAAGGTAACCACCAAAAGGTGAAGGGAGAGATGAACAGGGACATCACATTCTTTAACCCACTTGGAGCTGTGACCCAGATAATAGCTCCTGAAGTGATGCTGGTCTTTGCTTTTCAGAGTGAAGCTGAAATCCTGAGCACCAGTGTCATGGGCCATCTCCCCATATCACTTTGCAGGGACTTCCTCGGGATCTTAGCAACCAGTGTCATTGTTGTCACCACATCAGATTTTGCCACAGATATTATCAAAAACTAATATATTAACCTAGTGAAATACTTTCTTAGCAGGAATCCTTGTAAGGGATCAAAAACTTAAGTACAGCATTTCCAATTGAACCATAGATTGTTATACTGGTTTATATCAACAAAAATCGTAAGACTGAGGAACTGAGCAGATAGGATGCCACAACTTACTCTTTGCACCTATCACTGCTGGGCTGGGGCTGTAGCTTCATGATGGAATGCTTGCCTAGTATGGGCGATGCTCTAGGTCCAGTTCTCAATGGTTAAAAAGTTTTGCAAAGGCAACAGGTAAGGCTCTGACAGTCCTCTGCGGTGGGCTATCCCACCTTCTCATCGCCGCATTTACTCCTCTGTTCCAGCTGCCAAAGCTTTGTGGCAGCCACAGCTGGAGACCAGCGAGGACCCCTGCTTTAAATCAGTTCAGTGGTCTACTGAAATAGATGATCTAGACCCGTTTCTGCTGTTCACTGCTCTTACATGTCTGTGACTGAGTGCAATCCCACACTTTAGTATGATTATGCACGATTTCATCTGCAAAATATTCTCCTAGCGAGTCTCACAGAAACTGTCCTAAGCCCCACGCAGACATCACAGGCCAGGAGAGGCCAGTGTTCACAGAGGCACACCCTGGGCTGAACATTCCGTAATCTACAAAGACAAATATTTCACCTGTGGCCCAAGCAACTAAGAGCTTATGATGGAAGACAAACAATTTCTTAAAACCTTAACAAACAACAGCCAAACACTAAACAGCCCCAGCTGCAATCAGCGGCAGCCTACAGCAGGGGCGGGTCGCAGCTGAAAGAAATTTTAAGCAGGAAATGCTCCTCTTGACATCAGCACCTTGTCTGCCCTGTGTGACTTCTAAATAGAGGATAATGGATAATAGGGCTTGGACAGAGAAACTAGTGTCCCCCCCATGCCCCACCCCTGCACACACAAAGGTGCTTTCCTAGAGAGAGATTTGAAATACCTCCTCCAGTATTTTTTGTTGACTAATGAAGTACACGTGAGAACTGAGCGGGGTGGGGAAGTGGGGGTGCGGGGTTGGAGGTGGGGTGTGCGTGTGTCAAGGATAAAATCATGTTCAACCAGAAGCCCAGTTTGTGTTGAAAAGACTGTCTAGGTTAAATCATTTAATTCTTCAGCACATCGCATGGCAAAACTCTACTGAGTAGGAGAACAAAGCTAATGTGGACTAGAACCCAGGTCCTCCTCCAAACCACACATCTCCAGCCTCAATTACATGGAAAACAGTTTGCATCTCAGTGAAATTCAGACATCGGTTTTCTTTTTTTCTTTTTAGTCATTTAAGAAACATTAATTTTGGTTTATAAAGCAATTTATGGTGCACAGAGAAATGTGATGGGGGGAAGGATGCTTCTAGAACTTTCAGTGCTTTCAAACCACCGAAAGAATGTGAAACAGATGCCTTAGGTCTTGTCTTCTGGGGTACCTTGATAAGTGGCGTTGTGTAAGACGTGGAATTCGCACATTCTGGTCCCACCTGGAGTATACACAAGTCTTTAACAGAAACAGGATTGTTGTGTCAAGTTTGAAAAATGGCACCAGAAACCATGAGGCTGAGGTTATTGATTTGTGCCTTGTTGTTTAGAACATCCCCATTTGCAATTTGGTTGGTAAGTTCAAAGATCCTCTGATGAAGAAAAAAAAATCTATTTTTTAACATATAAATTAAATGATGCATTTAAACGCTCATTTATAGAAATTTATACTCTTGCTGTAAACCAGTAGAGGGCACTAACTGGATAGTTAATTAAAACTAGAGGCTAGAAGTTGCCTGTTGGGCATATTTATGGGAATCTCGGATACATTAGGCATTTCTGGGGAAAAATCCATTTCAGTCTCTCTAAAACTCTGTAAGAAAAATTGAGAGTTGGGGAAGTGAGATTTGTGTCCAACTAGTGTAAATCAAGTTTTTTCACACTATTATATTTTTTACCATTCTTTTTGCTTATCTGTGATGCAAAAAATACTCTGCTTTCGCTAGCCTGATGTGCTCCATGTGGTGTTCATTAGAGTCAAGTATCATTACCCATTTCCAAATTCTATCATGTGACCCATTTAATGTGTGTCATTGGGAGAAGTTATTTAAATTCTTCATGCTCAGGAGGTTTTTTAAATGTCTGATAGAGGTAGTAATGTCTTCCTTAGCATCACTGATAGCATGGATAAGATGAACAAAACAATCCCTCTGCCTGGTTTGTGACTGAGGCTTCTCAATTGCTGCTGCTACTCCTACCTCCAACATAGGCGTTGACTATATAATAGTAACTTCTACAAGCCAGGAAGAAGTTTGAAGTGCAAATACTCAAAGATTAAACAGGAGAGGCAAAATACTATTGCATAACCAGGTATCTCATTAGAAGGCTCTTCTTATCACATTTCCTGCACAATTCAGAAGTGATTTGAGTCATTCTGATACCTAATTTCCAACCTTCATCTTTTTTGCCGAATGAGACAGTTGTTTTTATTTCACGGTGCTGACAGATAATCAGTGCTAGGGCTTGCACAGCTTGGCATGGCTCACCAGTTTCTTCTTTATTATTAGATAAGACATAGAGATGGCCCGCCTGTATCCATGGGTTCAAAATATTTGAAAATAGTGTAGGTACCGAACCTAAACAACAGAGTATAACAGGTATCACATAGCACCTGTATTGTATTGGATTTTAGATGTAATCTGGAAATGATTTGAGGTCCACTAGGAAACAATCTCAGATTATATGCAAATCCTAGAGCAGTTTAGGAAAGGGATTTGAACAGCTGCAAACTTAGGTATCTGTGGGGATGCTAAAGTTAATCTCCACAAACAAAAAAGAGCAGCGATATTCTCATTTTATCTAGACTTTATTTTGTAAATTAAAATCTATTTACAAGAGATATCACCTATTTTCAATTATATGAACGTTTCCATAAATTATTTTCTGTTATCAGTCTGATGAATTAACTTCTTAAAACAGAACATCTCAACCGATAGGGATGATACATAGAAATTTAGTGAAGTTGTTTTTCTTGATACATTAACTATGTATTTTATCTTCCATAACTAGGTTTTTACCTTCTCCAAGGGGTTATCAGCACAACCGTGATTCCATCATGCATCCCAGGAGAGTCCGAGGACAACTGCACAGCTCTAGGTAAGCCTGAGGACATGGAAGCAGCATCAGAGATTTTCACATTTGTAAAGAAAAATGTAAATATTAATACAAGCTGAAGAAGCAGAAGGAAAGGACACCTGCTCTCTCCATTTTTAGTCTTATAGTTAACTAGAGATCTGGAGAAATTTCACGAAGAAGTAACAAGGGGAGAAAAATAAGACATGTGGTTATAGATTTTAAGAAATCGAGTTTTAGAAAGACAGAAAATAAGAAAAATCCATTAGTATAGAGCCATTATTAGAGAGTATTTGAAGGGACGATTCCCATGAAAAACAGGAAAGTGTAAGTTTTGTACACAGCTGTAGCGTGTCAGAGGAAGAGATGTTCTTCCACTTTAGTCCTAACGTTCAGGAACCGTTTATGGAGTGCTTGGTGTGAACCAGCATCGTGTTCAGGTAGAAATACAAAGGTGACTGATGGTGACCCCTGAGCAGTCATTGTTCCCCAAGGGGAACATGGTCCAAGGGAAGGCTCTATGCTTTGGTCGCAGCTGAATACGGACAGCAAAGAGCTGTCCTGGGTTATCTTCTTTCTTGTCCATCATCACTAAGCTTTCTGGAATTTTGTCAACCTCCCTCCACTACTGCTTTTTTGTTGTTGTGTTACTTGGGCAGGAAAGAGTACTCCAACCTGTCTGTATGTCTGTCTTTTGAAAATTAAATCCTCTAGTTTGTTCTATGTTAAGCTGTTTGCTTATTGCTTGGGGGCCTGCTGTGTGTTCAGGTTCTGTTTTTAGGTTGGGGAAATGCAGTAAGTAGGGTAATGTCTAGAGCCCCCAAATTCTCCATTGCTGACCTCTGACCTGACTGCTGAAGTTGTACAGAGGTTGTTGTTATTAAAGGATAGCCATGCACTCAGAGCCCTGTAACACAAGTCATTGAACTTCGCGTTCTCGTCACAGTTCAGACGGAAGACAATCCCCGTGTGGCACAAGTGTCAATCACCAAGTGCAGCTCTGACATGAACGGCTACTGCCTGCACGGACAGTGCATCTACCTGGTGGACATGAGTGAAAACTACTGCAGGTAACGTGGGCACGTGATGATGATCCTGGAGTCTGCACCGTCCTCTCTCTCCTTTTGTATTTAGTTACTACATTTCTACGGGCTGTTGAATTGTATTTTATTTTTATACAATTAAAAACTTTATTACGTTTTTGAAATTAGAAAGTAAATATAACATTTCCATCTGGACAGATAATTTGGGGTGTAGAACAATGAGGGGAACTTTAGATGCCTCCCCTCTCACTACGATGGCAACTGAACCTTTATTGGATTTCTCTATAAGCTATTGTTTTTTTTTTGTTTTTTTTTTTTTTTAAAAATATTTATTTATTATGTATACAGTGTTCTGTCTGAGTGTATGCCTGCAGGCCAGAAGAGGGCACCAGACCTCATTACAGATGGTTGTGAGCCACCATGTGGTTGCTGGGAATTGAACTCAGGACCTTTGGAAGAGCAGGCAATGCTCTTAACCGCTGAGCCATCTCTCCAGCCCCTATAAGCTATTGTTTTAAGAATCAATTCTACTAATTAGAAGGAAAATCTCATAAAACTCAACCCTCCTAGGTGACCAGTACCTTAGTGGCCATATCAGATTGTCCTACACACTGTGTGGAGGCATTTTATTAATGTTGACCCAACTCTGAGTTCAATTTTTGAATTCATTTTTATAACTTTAAAATTTTTTTGCTGGTTTCTTCATTGCAGTGAAGACTTAATTCTTATAGCACTAACTCATAACATGGCTTCATTTAAAAATAATTGATTTCCTTTGCATTCTTTAGATGTGAAGTGGGCTATACTGGTGTCCGGTGTGAACACTTCTTCCTCACCGTTCACAAACCCTTGAGCAAAGAATACGTCGCCCTGACAGCGATTCTCATTCTCCTGTTCTTTGTCATCACCGCTGGGTCCATATACTATTTCTGCAGATGGTAAGTTGGTTTGTTTTATTACCCATTGGTTTCTAAACTACCCAATAACAGACTTGCAAACTGGTTGAAATCTAAACATAATACGAGTGGCACAGGATGGAATCTGCACTGTGGTATTTACAAAACTGCCCTTTTGCATTACACCCGGGCTTCATTAAATTGCTAACCTTTACTTCCTGCCTATATGCATATAAAGGTCAAAATAGGAAATATTCATTTCTCTATAAAATACAGACTGAAAATGTCATCCTGTGATAACTGGGATTCTTGTCCTACAGTGATATTATCACAAAATGGCAACTGAGAGGATATATAACTAAAGATTGTCAGGGTTTTTAATTTGACTGGATTTATGAAACAGTCCGGCCCACAAAAATCTTTCCAGTTTACACTTCTTAGTTTCAAGTTGGTACACATTGTTTGTTGAAATCTTTTCTGAAAAACACTGTCCAAATTTTGTTCTAAATAGCCATCTGATGACAATATCTTCCTAATTAGAATTTGAAAATAGTATCTGTTCCGAACCTAAAAAGCACACTCTAACAGGTATCTTAGAGCTTCTGCATTGTATCGGGTTTTAAATATAACCTGGGGATGATTTAAGGTATACTAGTAGACCCATTCGGGTTATATACATCTAATAATTAGATGTAACAGAACCCAATACTGCTGAGAGAAACTGATAGAAAAAGATACTGGAGAACTTCTCCTGTCATTCCCAGCTTTGTTCTCATGTTAAGCCCTTGGAAAATGGTTTCATGTTAGCTGTTTCATGTCCATTTCTTACCAAACCGGATGGGCTGCAGGACATTGCCCTCTTGGTCTCTCGATTTTCCATTGCTTGACCTACGTAGAGTCGCTCTGGTCATTTTGGATGCTCTCCCCCTTTTGTTTGTTGAAGCTGGATTTCTCTGTGTAGCCCTGGTTGCCCTGGAGCTCACTCTGTGGATTAGTATGGCCTTGAACTCAGAGATCCATCTCCAGAGCATCTGTCTCCTGAGTGCTGGGGATTAAAGGCATATGCCATCAGATGCCTGTTCTTAATGTGCCCTGAGAGTCCATGTATTTGTTTTAGAGTTTGTTTTTATATCTGTTAGTTACAGTGCTATTTCCTTTCTGGTGTTTTTCTAGGTACAAACATCGAAAAAGTAATAAATCAAAGAAGGAATATGAGAGAGTAACTTCCGGAGACCCCCCGGTGCCACAAGTCTGAACATCACCATGAAGTTTTGAACTGGGATGCATAGCATGCCTGGTTAATGTCAATATTTCATTATATTAATAATATTTATGTTGGGTCATCTGTTAGGTCAATAACTGTTTATTTTTTAATGTATTTGGAAAGTGTTTTATTTTTGACAGGCTATTTGTTAATATATTATATGTAAAGTATTTAATATCAAAAGAAAATTGATATTTTTGTAAGAATTTCCTGAGTGAAATGCTTTATTGAAAAGCATCAAAGCTCAGTGAGCTGGAGCTACACTCAGAGTCAGCCATGCCCAGCCTGTTGCAAGTGCCATTCCGGTGGGCCTAAATAATAAGGTCAAATCAATTGTGTAAATAATTTATTTTCTGCTTCTCAGATCTGTGACAACTGATTTGACTATATCATGGCTTGGCACAGAGGTTGACACCATTACTTCATGTATTAAAACAGTAATAAGGGGAGGTAAACACAACTTGTGTGCCTCACACCACACCCGTGAGCCAACGAATCCTGGAGAGGATCTCTCCTCAGCATCCCTGCTATTTGGTACAGACATGCCTAGAGGGGCCAAGGACAAGGCCTGTGCTAACCAACCTGAAGCACGGGTATCCCGTTTATCATTAATGTGAAGTCCTTCTTGAACATCAATCAGAAAAGCCACATTTGAAGAAAATTTGAACTCCATTTTAGATTATTTATTGTTATAGGATTAAATCAGAATCCCAAATCAAATTAATCATAATTTTAAAATACAGCGGGTTGCTAGTCAGATCTTGTCTAACATGGAAATGTACTTTTTATTTTATATTTAAGAGGTTTTGTTTGCTTGTTTTGCTTTTTTTTTTTTTTTGCTGTTGTTGTTGTTTTTCTTTTTTAACCCAGAGTTTCACTCTTTTGATCAGAGTGGCTCCAAACTCATGACAATTCTCCTGCCTTAGCCTCCCTGGCTCTGGGATTATAGGCCCACATTACCATGCCTAGTTTCAAGAGAATTTTCACAGACAACTAGTTCAGCAAATACCTTATTTCAGATTTTAAAGTTCCATTTTAAAAACATGGGCCCTCTCCCTGTCATTTGTTTGCATTTATGGAAAGAGAGAAGTTAGTCTCTGCTCCCGGCCTGTAGGTCTCTGTCTGTGAGTCACTCACTTATTCTGTATGGTTGCCTCGGGATTCCCTGCCGCACGCCTTTGCCTTTCCTGGGAGGCTGCCTAACCGAAGGCTCAACCTTAGGTGGAATCTCTCTGGAGCACATTCCAGGCCAGGGAGAGTCTATTCTTCCTCCACCTTTTTCCTGGCATGTGCTAGGGCAGCCAAGCCATTGTGAGTTGCCTCTGACCTCTAGAGTGCAAGGGAAGAAAACATTCCTGCCCTAAGGAGCCACTCATGGAAAACCCTGGAAGGCTCACACAGCTCGCATCCAAAGTCCAGGCCTTACTATGTGGGGAAGCAGCAGATGAAAGAAGGAACGCACACTGCATTGCTGTGCACACGCTTGTGCATACATCCGCGCCACACCTTGCAGAACTACAGCTGTTTATTTCTGCATTAGCCAACATATTTACTTCTAAGAAGACAAAGGCAAATGAAGGTCAGTGATATTTAAAGGTATATTTCTTTGTCATTTTATTTAGCTAAAGTCTAAGGTCCTGAGTAAGAACACATTTTAAATCCCATTGGTACCAACTGGACAGAGAGAAACCTGGCCTGTGTTAAGTGACCTTGACTTCTCCAGATGAAAGTTTAAAGCTCACCAAGAACTGAGCTAGAATAGAGCCAGTTAATTTACAGATGCCAAATAAGGCTTTTAGATATGGGTATATTGCTCCTCTATGAGCATTTCCAACCACACCACACCACAGAATTTGATGCAAGAACTTTGGAATAGCTTTGCATATCTTTAAATGTTTTTAAAAAGATCTCAGGAAAGATATATATGTATATTTATGTATGTATGTATGTATGTATGTATGTATATATATATATATATATATATATATATATATATTTGATCTCAAAGCTGGGAATAAAACTCAAAGCCTTACACATGTTGGGCAAACACTACCATTGGGCTACAGCTGTAGTCCCATAAAAAACATATTATTAATGAAATAGTATGATGGAGATTACAGATTTTGGGTGAACATAAGTTTGGAAAACGTCACTGTTTTAGTGAAGATTATGCTAAGTGAGCATAAGAAGAGTACAATCAATTCATGTGTCACACGTATTCCTCATTATATTGCACATACACACACTCACGCAGGAACATCGACAAGGCTATACACATCCTGTATTGAACACATAGCAATTCCAGATGCAAAACTGCATCCCTTACAGTCTCCCATCAAGACCTATCAGATAACCCAGTAGATGCACTCTGTAAGCAAAGACCTCATGCGCTGTGCTCAACACTGCAATTTTGTCTTAGAACTGAGATTTTTGCTACATAAAGCCTCCATCCCACACTACAACTCTACCGCTTTCTTCCATATTTTCATCCTCCCCTCCCAGTTAAAAATCAAACCACGGGTAAAGCGAATATTTAACTTTTAAGTCCTGGAAAAGATAGCAAAATAAATTTAACTGCTGAGAGGTGGCGATTAATTAAGTATCCAGCAATTATGTGACACACCCGAGTGTCTAATTTTTGTTTCTTTCAGTCATAAAAATAGTAAAGTTTCCTTTAAATCATTTCATCCCACCAAACTTTTTTGCTTCAATTTCTATTTTGCGGAATTTTTTTTAAAAAAGTTTTATTTGCTGCCTAATTTTTTTTTCTAATTGTTCTAATGCTATGGGAGGAAGAGGAGCATAGGCAGCGTTTCTGGGGTTCATTTGAAGTTTTATTGGAAGAATATGTATGTCTAGGCGGTCTCTGCTCTTCACCCCCGATGCTGTTGAATGTAACACAGTGTAATTTTCTGCTTGCCCTTTTGCACTCTGTCCTTGCACTTTGTAAGTTTGAAGAGCCAGTCTGGTATAACGTTTCTCTTAAAGATTCTAATGGAACATAAAGTTGCGTTCACCTAAAACTTATTTGACTATGAATGTTGTCGGAGAACTGAATTGTATCAATTTGTTAGTAGGTAATATCAGCTTTGATAGTTGTGTACCTTAAAATAGTGAAGGAGACTGTAATTTACAAGTTATTGTTAGTTTTTATTTATTTTTGTTAGGAATTGGCAAAGATCACTATGAAAAAATAAAAGTATGATTGACTAAATAATCTAAAGTTTCTGTTCCTTATTTCCGTTCCTGTTTGTGTCCTAGTAAATTAGGAGACGTGAAAGCAGTGTCATAACTACAATGTGTGGCAATACAATAATTCAAGGAAGATCACATATATGTGTTTCACTTTAAGGGCTAATATATTGAAGTTTTGAAATAAAAGGAGTCATGATAATTATGAAATTCTAGGTGTTGCCATATTTTCAAAGAATATGCTAAGGAGTGTTTTAATATGTACTATGAGAAATGGCTTTTGGAGAGCCTTTTTAGTCAGAATTGGGTCTCACGATTCCTTGGCATGTGCCCCAAGGCTCAGTTTCTTGGTTTTTTAAAGTAGGAAACAGTAGCTAGGCCAAATCACCTTCCTTGTATGTTGATCCGACAACCTGCAGGACACTTTTTGCTTGTGTTTTTGTAGTGCTAGAAGTCAAACCTTACATGTACTAAATGTGTACGTTACCAGTAAGCCATAGCCCCAGATCACCCTAAAGAAGTCTTTGTGGATTTCCGACCTCTAAGCCACACTCCCAGATCATCCTACAAAGGTCTGTCGATTTCTGACCTTCCCTAAGTCACACCCCCAGATCACCCTACAGAGGTCTTTGTGGGTTTCTGGCCTCCTGGAGCCTTTGTTAGCCAGGTAATAGTAAAGTTAAATCTGCACAGCTGGAGGCACCAAGTGAGGCAGCTGTGAGAAATGAGGTCCTGAAGCCACTGCAGTTCTTGCCAGGTCAGAGGCAACAGGACTTCGGGGAGAGTTAATCTCAATCCAGTTCAGAGCTAGCTTGGAAGAAACAAGAGTTCTTATAGAGTCAGAACCAGCAGTCTGACTCCAAGTCTGAGAATCCACTGGGCAAAAGGAAAAGCTAGAGATGCTTCTATCTCTAGGCACCAAGGACATTACCTGCACTTTGTCTCTGCCTGTGTCATCTTCAATATCTCCTCGTCCTCCACAGTGGACATGGAAGCACCCAGATCTTGGGAAGTTTTTCTGTATGTAACCATCTTATACTTCAGTCTTTGTGTCCCTGCATCTTCGATGGCCTTTATGTAGTGGCTTTTCTCAGCCTAGATACCTCTACTAAGTTCCGGTTGACTATATTTCATTATCTACCTTCCACAGTCTTACGGCAGCTCAGGGTGATGTGTTCAATAACTGACATTCTCCGGAAGAATGAATAAAGCTCAATCTTCTTTGCTTCCTCTATGTTTAGACAGGAGCTCTCTGTGTACCCTTTGAATTTACAATCCTACCATAGCCCTGAGCTCTCTCAGTTTGAGAGCTAGCATGAGGACTCTTGCCATCAAACCTAAGCATCTGAGTTCCATACCATCCTGGAAGTTATGTGCTGATCTCTGCACACACACTGTGCGTTTCATACTCCCCCCCCAGCACACACACCTACATACATCACACACACATACACCTGCACCTACACATGCACTTACACACAAACTTATACACACCCCTACACTCATACCCATACACACAGCTATACACACACATGCCTACACATACATCCCCCACATACACACACATACATCCACATACACACCCCTACACACACCCCTTATACATGCATACACCTACACACACACCTACAGGTACACACACCTATACCTACCCGCACACACCCCTTCACACATTACACATACATGCACACACATACACACACCTACATCCACACACTTATATACACGCCAATACATATGCTACATGCATACCCCTACAAACACATAGCTATACATACATACCTACACACCATCCCCCTACATTCACGCACACCTGTACACACCCCTACATACACACAGTTGTACACACACACCCTATACATACACACACATCTAAACACACATCCCCCACACACATACACACACCACACCCATACACACACTTACATACACACCTATACACAGCCCACACACACCTATGCATACACATCCTATACACACACATAAAACATGACAACAAATATTCCTTTTGTAAAGTTTATACCTCAATAAAATTCAGCTCCAGTCTTCTTGTACAGCAGGCTAGAAACCTACAGTTGTACCCAGAAAGTCCTGAATGGCTCTTTACAGTCATGGCAGAAATAGTCATATTGAAGAGATATGCAAAGGGGAAAATATTTCAAGAAAACATTTAAAATATGACAAATTTCAAAAGATAGCAATGTAGGCACTGAATTTGAGTTTAACCTATTTCTTTCCAGTGCTCACGAATCATTATAAACCGTAATTCTATTCATTGAGTGACATGAATTTTTTAAGAAGAAACAAAACATGCATCCCTACCTGATCACGGGCTTGTGTTGATCACCCATCATGAAATGCAGTACTCCACACTCCAGCCATTCTGTCTGAATTTTGGAGAGTAATTTTGAAGACTTTATATGAGTCTGCACTGCAATGTACCTACTAAGAAAATGAGGCCAGTATAGTCTAATTGCACGAGGTGCATGAGTAGATCCAAGACGAAGGTCATGATACTGAGGATACAGGACTTCAGATAAGACCTACCTCTGCTGTGCCCATGGAGGACAAGGGAACTGCACATAAAGTTTAATCAGACTCAGGAAGGATTCACGATTTTCAATTATCTTTTGTGTTTGCTCTATTTTTCTAGGGATGGCAAGATTGAAACCGAAGAAATAAAAATCATAATCCTAACATTATGGCTGTTATCAGCCATTCATTTTTAAAACATGATAAAAAATCCAACATTTTAAAAATAAATAAACAAAAGAGGACATGAAGAAAGAGGGAAGTGTGGAGGGAGGTCTTGAGGAGTAGGAAGCCGATGATGAGGTAGACATGATCAAAATACTTTATACACATGAAAGAAAGTATTGAAGAACTAATAAAAAGCATTGAAAAAGAAATGTTATGAATGAATTTCAATTACTTCTAAGTCTATTAAGAATTACAATAAGGAAAATGTGGTACATTCACACAATAGAATACTACACAGCAGAAAAAAAACATCTTAAATTTTGCAGGCAAATGAATGGAACTACAAAACATCAACCGATGTTAATTGAAAAACCCCTTTATATATGTTAATTCTCTTTCTTTTTTTTTATTGAGCTCTACATTTTTCTCTGTTCCCCTCCCTGACTCTCCCCTCCCCTTCAACCCTCTCCCAAGATCCCCATGCTCCCAATTTACTCAGGAGATCTTGTATTTTTCTACTTCCCGTGTAGATTAGATCTATGTATGTCTCTCTTAGGGGCCTCATTGTTGTCTAGGTTCTCTGGGATTGTGATTCGTGGACTGGTTTTTTCTTTTTCTATATTTAAACCCACTTATGAGTGAGTACATGTGATAATTGTCTTTCTGGGTCTGGGTTACCTCACTAAAAACAATGTTTTCTAGCTCCATCCATTTGCCTGCAAAATTTAAGATGTCGTTTTTTTCTGCTGTGTAGTATTCCATTGTGTAAATGTACCACATTTTCTTTATCATAATTCTTAATAGACTTAGAAGTAATTAAAAACATATATGATTGGGAAAGGAAGTTAGAGTTGTGGGGATACTAAAGTCAGTATAAGACTTTGACAGCTTCAGTGTCTTGATTTGTATAATTACTTTCCTGAAGCAGTCTGACCTTACCAAGAAGATATCTGTAGGAAAGATTCTATTGAATAGATAGCATCTGCAGAAAATTCAATAGACTCAAAGAAATGGGCAGTTCTCACAACATAAAGCAGAGTATAAACTTCAACCATATTATACTTGCAGTGCTAGGCGTCTAGGAAAATGGAACACTATCTCCCACTTGGAATATAGTTTCATCCTTTTGCCAAAAGGGGCATTTTACTTGAGGAAAGAAACAAAAGAAATGCATACAATAATTAATATTCCCCAAGTATTACATCGCCATTACATTACATTTCTATTACATATAAAAAGCACATCGCTATTTCTAGAGAAAAATGGATAAATACTAAGCAAGTAAAGACCAAATGTCTAGTCCATCTTTATACATGTCACAAGGTTTGTAGAATTCTGGATTAGAGGGCTGGGGAGACAATGCAGTTAGCAAAGCACTCCCCAAGCAAACTTGAGGACCTTGGTTCAGAGACCAGCATCACCCTGTAAGCCTGGTGCTGGGGAGGCAGCGATAATGGGATGCCTCAAGCTCTTTTCCCAGCTTGTCTTGATGAGTTGGTGGTCTCCAGTGCACTGTGAGATCCTGCTCAAAATTAAGGTGGAATGCAATAGAGGCAGATGTAAAACTTAGACAGGTACTGTCTGAGGGGAGAAAGAATAGGTGGTTTTTTTTTAATATATAGAAAACACAGCAGGAAAATCAAGAGTTTATAGAGTGGTTTAATATAAAAATGAGAAAAGATAAAGTTGGGTAAAATTCAGGTTGGAAAGGAAGGAAATTAATTTAATTTGAATATATTGAATCTTAAGTAACAGGAGGACAGACACATAAGTAGAAATAGCACGCTTGGTGTATTTGACAGTACCTCAAATTTATATACTATCTTATGATTTTATAAGCCACTTTCGCAAGTATAACTCATTGTTTACATGCACACATTGAGATGACAGGCAGACAGGAGTAATTATTACCTACAGGAGAATTGAGCTGGGATGGTAGCACTCACTTAGCTTTGGGTTCAGTGCCCAGCACCAGAACAAAACAAAACAGAAAAGTGGAGATGTAATCTTTGTTGGGACTTGCAAAGTCATGAACTTTGTCAATGTCCGGTGGTCATGAGACCTCCTCCCAAAGAAGAATAGTGTTTTATTCCATCACAGGTCTATAGTGAGGAGTAAAGCTACATGGTGGGAACCCCATTACTGGTGAGGCCAGAGAAACACTTCCAGGAAATGAAGAGGGATAAAAAGCACAAAGCAAAATAAGCAACTAGCCATTGGAGTCCAAAGAAAAGTCCTTATGAAGCTGATAAGGAAAGGATACCTGTATTGGTGGCGCACGCCTTTATTTCCAGCACTCTGGAAGCAGAGACAGGCAGA